ATTTATTATGTATATATAAATACATACACAAGCATGTATATATTTAAGAAAAATGTGTTGTTTATATATTAAATATATTTATATATAAAATAAATTATATGAATATAAATATATACATGTAAATACATTTCCTAAATATATTTTCTAAATACATACTCTATGTGTGTGTCTTTATATATACATAATAAATATACACAGAACACACACATATATTATGTTCACAAAAACTATTATTTTGGATGCGATTAATCGTTGCCCAGCACTAATATATATATATCAAGTCAAGTTAAGTCAAGTTGAGCTTTATTGTCATTCCGCTATGTGTGGACATACAGTGGAATGAAATGTTGTGCCTCACAGGACCACGGTGCTACATAAATACAGACATACAATAATGAAGTAAAACAGTTTAAACCTATACACAACTAACCTACTCACAGATTTTGACTATAAATATACTATATATAAATGTTTACCTATACATAAACTAAAAAATACAAACTATACGAATGCTTCACATAATACTGTACCTATACACAACTAACCTACTGACAGATTTTGACTTTAAATAATACTATATATAAATGTTTACCTATACATAAACTAAAAAATACAAACTATACAAATGCTTCACATAAACACTGTACCTATACACAGCTAACCTACTGACAGATTTTGACTATGAATATACTATATATAAATGTTTACCTATACATAAACTAAAAAATACAAACTATACGAATGCTTCACATAATACTGTACCTATACACAACTAACCTACTGACAGATTTTGACTATGAATATACTATATATAAATGTTTACCTATACATAGACTAAAAAAAAATACAGACTATACGAATGCTTCTCATAATACTGTACATGTGCAAAGAGAAACTTCGTAAGTCAAGCAGCTGGCTGGGGAACAGTGCAAGATGATTTGTAGTGCATGAGCATGTAAACATACACATTAGTATATATGTGTGTGTGGCCCTGGACCACAACACCAGTCTTAAGTCGCTAGAGTATGTTTTTAGCAATAGCCAAAAAAACATTGTATGTGTTACGGAGGGAACAGAGGAAGCGTGCAGATCCATTTGCAAAGCTTTATTCTTAAACATGGTTAAAACAGGCAAGGGTCAGACAATGGCACACAGGTATATCGAGGGCAAGACAAGAGTAATCCAAAGCGGGCGTAGTCGACCGGCAGCTAACAGTATCCAGAGGGCTTGACAAGAGGGGTAATCCGACAACATGAGCAATAGTCCAGGCAAGATGCAAACACAGTCCGAACGGCAAAAAGAAAGGGATAATCCAAGACAGGCTAATAATTCCAGGTCAGGCAGCTGACAGACAGGATGAGATAAACAGACTGGAATCAAGACACCGGTAAAACAACACTAAACTAGATTCAGAAAACTAGGACAGGAAACTGGCTCCATAAAGTGCTACCACTTAGAAAACGATAAACGCAAACAATACTCAGCGATCTGAACAAGGAAGTCCACGGCTTATAAAGCGTGTCTGATTGGATTCAGCTGTGTGTGTGTAATCAGTGCAATGGATGATGGGAACTGTAGTCCGGAGTGACATGTAACAGTCTGTGGTGTTTATATGTATATATATATATATATATACACATGTGCCCTTGAATATAAACCCTAATATTTCACAGGCACGTAAGATCTCACAGTAATACTGCTATTTGATTTGACTGAATCTTTCATCTGTCAGATTTAGTATTTTGTAGGAAAACTGTTTGTCTAAAGCAGAAGTCAGGTGGTTTCATATTAACAAGAATGGAAAAATTCGTTCACAATCGCAAACACAATCTTCCAACAGACACATTCTCATACACACATACACAAGTTCCTACAGAAAAGCATTAAACACTGCTAGATTTGATTACTTCTCGTCTCTTTTGGTTCCTTGCCGCTGTCGCCTCTGGCTTGCTTAGTTGGGGACACTTCATTTCCAGTCAAATTCTTTTTCGGGGATCATTTAAATAATCAGTCTTTAAGTATCACACATGGTGATTCTCACCAATCCTTAAACTCATCCCAAGACTCAGAGTTGGTTGTTGCAGGAGGTTCCAAGTAAAAGCAGATCACAGATCTGATACTAGAAGACAACGAAGACTGAAGAAGATCATCTTCTCATGGCAACAGGTACATACTCCACATGATCCTCATCTTTAACATATGGAAAAAAAAAACACTGGGTGGATTTTTATCGTTATAGGGTGGATGTGTACAAACACTGCCAACATTTATGTTCAAACTACATGTAAAAGCGAATTTTGCATCCGATGACCCCTTTAATATTATTGTTGCAGACGTTATATTTTATTTTAAACACCAGATGGCGCTCTAAGCTGTAAGAAAAAAACACTTTCTATTAAAACAACTCCTGCTGTTAGATTTAACTACACCATTGAGTGGTGAAAAATAGCTCTTTGTACATTAATAACTGTTAATTTATAGTGCTATGTTCATTATTACATCAGATACATTGATGTAAGTTATTGAGTCTGATCCACAACAATAGACAGAGGTCAGCTCAATGAATAAACTTTAATATCACCATTCCCATACCTGTACACGAGTAACAGAGTTGACTGATGTCCAGATGTTGAGTTTGGTTGCTGATGGGATTGTTGATCACACAGCTGTAGGTGTTTTTATCCTGATATTCCACCTCCAGAGGTAGAGAGAGACTGATGCTGAGATCAGACACACTGATGCTGGACAATAAACTGTTTCCTTTGTACCAGGAGAGAGTCACATGACTCACATTCACCACTGAACACAACAATGAACAATATGATGATGATGATGATGATGAAGAACAGTCTCTTCTTATGACAGGTACAGGCAGATGAGCTGAATACATAAGAGAATAAACAGAAATATGGATAAAAATAAACAATTTTACTTTATTTTATTTTTTTATGATTTAGTGTGTTTTTATACAATCTGTCACCTTGAACTATAAAACAAGAATATGTGAATGGCAGGACAAATGTTCTCTACTCACCATAAACAGAAACACTGAATATTTTTGATGACAGTCTCGCTCCCCTTATCTGTTGTTCATAGTCTCCAGCATGTTCAGTTGTGATGTTTGTGATGGTCAGAGAGCCAGTCTTATCATCCAGCTTCAGTCTGTCTCTGAATCTCCCATCAAGAACATCAAATGTTGAGAAGATTCGTTTCTCATCGCTGATTTTACCTATAAGAGACTTTTCAGCTCCAAATTTCCGTGTTATGTCTTCATCTCCATGTAATTCAGTAACATTAGTTTTTAAAGTGACAGAATCTCCCTCCATCACTGACATTGACTGTATTTAATTTGTTTCTGCACCAAACACACCTGAAGAGCATGAATGGGTTTTGTCACAGATTAAAGTTCCTGATGGTTAACAAATCCTGAAATAAGCTGTTATTATCATTTACAGATGAACTAAAGAACATTACAACAGCAACAGAGGGACAAAATGAAAGGTAAGACGTACTGTATGAAAAATAGGTTTGTGTTACCCCTTGATTTTTAAATTGTTTACAAGTTATCTGCTGTGGAGCAAAATCAATGTGTAAACTTACACAGTTTAATTGTGCTGAATATTTTTAATATGTAGTAAATGAGACACTTAAATCAGCATAATGTCAGTGTAAAATTCCAAAAAATTTAAGTAGATCTAATAATAATGATGATTTATTTGGTACAGACAGTAGCAGATGAAAATAGTCTAATTCTTAACAATAGCTGCAGCTCAAAAAAACTTAAACCATAACAATGTTTTTATAACTTACCAATCTGACAGCACCAGCACAAACAGAACAAAGCAAACATGTGAAACATTTTCTTCAACGGTTCAGTGTCTGATCTAAGAAGACTATCCTCTAAAAACACTCAAGCTATTTGTGAATCCTCCCACTACAGTGTTGGACCCTCCTCGTTCACACTCTGCATATGCATATGATATAATGTTATCTGGCCCTTAGGAGTTTAGCTGTTCTTAATGGGTGAAAATATTTTTATCATTTAACATAAGCCTACTTTTTGTAAGGTAGTTGCTTGACTGTGTTAAATGGCTAAAAGTATAAGAATATTGTGTGAGCTGTGGATAAACTACATTTTGTACGTTTTGTGATTTTTAAATGGTTGTGTATATTATACAGTTCTTAATGTTAGTGAATGGAAAAATCAAAAGTACTAAGTTAAAACGGTCTGCCCTCGCACACTTTCATCTTCTGAGTCAAACTGAAAGCTGCTATCTTTAAAATGGGCCATGTGTGAGTGAGTCCGTTAAATGCATGAACCAGACACTGATATCTTTCACATAGTAATGGACGAGTCAAACTGTAAATGTTCAAAAAAAAAAGCAAAAGTAATACATTAAGATTCTATACAAATGTGGCTGTCACCTGCATATTTCAAAAGCTCATTCAGTTGTACAGTGCAGTTATCATTCCCATAAAATGACAGCAACACTGTGTACATGGTCTGTTTTTACTTGGCTATGCCATTTTTAGACACTGTAATCTATGTTTATTTGAGTTGGTTATTGTTCAAACAGGCACCAGGAGGCAGCACGATGATCAAGCAGACCTTGTGTCTTTATTTTGTGCATTCAGTATGTATTTATAGCGCACCCTATCGGTAAGAGTAGTGCTATTATTAGAGATGTGATTTTATGCTTTGGCCACCAGGAGGACGATGATGCGCTTGTGCTACTTTTGCTAACAACAGAACAAACCGTGTGTGATACTATACAGTGCACTCGATATTCCATTATATTTTGTAAAAAGAATAAAACAGGAACAGTAAAGGACAGTTAAATGACAAAAGGTGTGATTAATATTTAATAATGAGTGTTAGGTAAATGTCCATGTGATAAGCTAAAGATAGAACATTTTCGTTTCTGGATGATATGCTATTGGTAAGTCACTATATTTATTAAAGGGGTCATATGATGCTATTTTAAAGATCATTATTTTGTGTATTTGGTGTAACAGAATATGTTGACATGCTTTAATGTTCAAAAAACACATTCTTTTTCAAATACTGTACATTATTGTAGGTTCTCTATGCCCCGCGTCTCTCAAACGCATCGTTTTCAACAAAG